AGTCGCATCTCCGAGATACTTTAATATTCAATATCCTTTCACGTTTTCCAGCACCCCTGTCAGCAGACTTGAGACGTAAGTAAAGATGCATAGATGTTGTTCTGCGTCCTACCTGCTCTCCATTTCCCATAATTTTGAAAATTTTCATTTCATTTCATTTATAGAGTTCTATATGTCTGTTCAGTTGGTGAAAAGGCATGTTTCAAAGTGTTGTATAATGTATTTTAAGGAATTATTGGTATTTTTGACATGTACTGCTCTCCAAAGCATAACTTGTTTTCTAAAGGGTTGGAAGTTTTGTGGGTTGTTTTTGAGTTGCAGGTTTTCTGTAGTAAATGAAATGGGAGCACAATTCTTTTCTTCGTGCACAACAAAATCCATGCAACTGCAAATTGTAAATGTTGACTGTGCTTAGTCACTTGCAATGCAGCCTGGGGGTCAATGTGGCTCAAGGGACTTTTGGTAGGTCACCAGAAATGAGGCTGATTTGTGTTCTGATCTTCCCTCCACACTCCTCCCTTGCAAAGATACTACAGGTACAGGTATACCTCTGTCTCCCTTTGCTCTACCTCCTTGCCTCTTTTCTTAGTTACTTTGATTAATACAAAAAAGAATGTGACGTTCATTTTCACTGAATTGAGGCTGACTGTGTGACACACTTTTTTTGCAGCTGGGTGGATAAGAAGAACTCACACATTATTTCCTTCTGCCTTGCTCTTCGGGATATTAATCATAACCCCAACATCTTGCCCAACATCACCCTGGGCTACAGCATCTATGATACCTATTCTAAGGGAAGACTGACTTCTGACTCCATGACAGACCTGCTTGCTGGTGGGAAAATCAATATTCCAAACTACAGCTGTGGGAAGCAGAAAAGGCTACTAGCTGTTCTTGAAAAGAGTGAACTTGACATCTCCACACACATTGCAAGCATGTTAGGAATCTACAAGATCCCACAGGTAATCAATGGGTCCAAGTGAAACACACCTGGCAACATTAGCCACCTTGTTGTTGTTGTTGTTGCTGCTGCCATCTGTCTGTCTTGAAAGATGATGGCGTGAGCCTCTGGGATGAAGTCAAACCACTGTGTAAGTAGTATCAAAGTGACCTCCACAGTGTGCAAGCCTGGACAGTGGGTACGGAGGTCCTGGGCTGCCCAGATGACAAGACCTCCCTCTCAGCCTCACTGCTGTGCTCCAAAGGAAAGCAGAGCAATACATTTGGCACAAGCTTGGCTGCAGGAGTTGCTGGAAGGAGGCAAACAAAGCAGCACTCAGCTGGTGCAGGATTTGTGCAGGGTTTACTCCTTAGCCTTTTCTTCTCTCAGATGTTGGAGGGGATGAAGGGTTATGGAACTCCCTTGCGGTTGAGGACAGACAGGCCCCTTTCCTACTGTCTTTCTATGGCCTACTCAAAACTTGAGTTTTCTTTCAGCAGACATTTTAATTTAAGTTTGATTATAGTGCTTGAAATATACTTGGAGTCCTGCAGTGATTTCATGCTCTTTATTGCAGCTTGTGAAACAGTGATTTAATTGCCCACCAAATCTCAGGCTTCTATATACATTATTTACACAATGAGTCCGGTCTGATTGGCTGATTCTGCTTCCCTCCTGGAGCCTGATTGGTCTTCTCCTGCAGGCCAATCAGTTATTGCATTCTAGGATCCTACCTGCCTATTGTTCTAGGTTCCAAGCTTAGTACATAACAGTGCTTTACTTTCTTGATTGTTTTTTATTGAATGCTTCTTAATTTCATATAAAACTTTGCCATTAATCGGTATAAAAAAAGCTTAACTTTTTTTTTACCTCCAAATTTTTTTGAGATTTACACTAAATCTGTCAGCATCTTTTGCATAGAAGTATCCAGGTTTAATCCTGAAACACAATCTATCATTCTTTCCCCCTTTTTTTACCAGCTCAGTTATGGCTTTGTTCTTACTGATAAATTCCAGTCCCCTTTTGTCTACCAAATGGTGCCAAACCAAGAAACCCAGTACCAAGGGATGGTCAAACTGCTCTTGCACTTCAGATGGACATGGGTCAGCCTCTTTGCTCCAGACAATGACACTGGTGAAAGGTTCTTGAGTACCTTGACACCTCTGATGAACAAAAAGGAAATTTGTGTTGCCTTCACACAAAGAGTACAACGAGAAACGTGGCTATGGATACCCCATGAAGCACCTGCCCTGTGGAGACAAGTCAATGTATTTGTTTACTTTGCAGACTCTCAAAGTGGACTCTACATAATCATAGAGGTTGAGTCCTTACTTGAAAGGATACAAACTGGGGGGAAAGTCTGGATAATCACAGTTCCACAGAACAAAATTTTCTTATGTGATATTGACTGCTTTCAGTATGCCCATGGCTCTTTGTCCTTTGTAATGAAGACCAAAAAAAGGATGAAGAAGGACTATTATGGGCCAATGTCCTTGGCTGGTCAGCAGTATTCAGAAGAAGCATTTGATTGTTCCTATTCAAAGCATGCCTTGTCTGTGAGGGGTATGACCAAATGCAGAGAGAAGGATAATGTGAAGATGCTGCCCCAGGAAGAGATTGAAAGAATCCAGTCCCAAGACAGCTACGTGAATTACCTGAGTATCCAAACTGTGGCTCAGGCCTTAAATGTTGCCTATTCATCCTGGTCAAAGAGGATGTCGATTGTGGGTGGAGGCAGTTGGGAACTTCAAATGCTACAGCCATGGCAGGTATGTCCATTTCTTTTTGCAATCTGGAATTTGTTGTCCCAACTCTGGAAATCACAAAGAAAGGATCATCGGGAAGTGTCTTGCACTGTGACAAAACACTGGTTAGTATTGTCTACATTGACTGACAGGCCTTTGACATTGTTTCATCTGCTGGCAGAAGTCCATCAGAGTTTCTCTCATCCAGGACCACAATACCTCAAGGACTACCTCTCTCCATATAACTCTTCAACTTGGCCCTTGTCTGAATAACATCTTATACCCATTTTAAATGTGTTTGTGTGATGGGTTGGGGGAGGGTTGCTATTGGGTTGTGTGGTGTGTGTGTTCTTTTTTATCATGTATTGTGCTTTTATATTCTTATATTCCTTATATATCTTTATATTCTTTGATTATCAGTGTGCCACTGAATAGCCTTCTTTAAATAGTTTCATTGTGCTGCAGAAAGATGACTTCATCCTTCATTGAACTTAGTGTTCTTCCTTTAATAAAGCCATGTTCATCATGTTTTACATATTTTCCCAAACACCTTAGAATCATAGAATTGTAGAGTTGGGTGGGCCATGAGGGGCATCTAGTCCAACGCCCTGCAATGCAGGAATATTTTGCCCAACATAGAGATCAAACTCATGACCCTCAGATTAAGAGTCTCTCGGTCTAGCGACTGATCTGTCCCCACAAATCAACCTTTCCTAATATATGTAATAATGTTGATTTTTGTCACCCCAAAAAGAAGATTGAGGCTGAAGAAGATTGAGGGTGTCTAATAACCTAGCGTGCTCTGGTCCATAGGGTCACGAAGAGTCAGACACGACTAAACGACTAAACAACAATAATCTAGCATGGTTAGATAATTCCAGGTGAGAGATACAGTGGTTCTTATTTAGGGAAGATTAGGATGCAGAGGGAACATGAAACCATGTTTATAATGCAGCCCTGCTTACTCATTCCTTGATTTCCCTCTGTCATTCTAGTTTCATCGTTTCTTGAAAGAAGTCCAGTTCTACTCTAATACTTCAGCTGATGGGCAGTACTTGGATGAGAATGGGGCACTGGCCATTGACTTCGATATTGTGAATTGGGTGCTGTTTCCTAATTACTCTCATGAGAGAGTGAAAATTGGGAGAATAGAGAGACAGAAGTCCTCAAATCTGAAGTTCACCATTAACCCAGAAGCAATTGTGTGGCCCAAGCGATTTAAGAAGGTAGGAAAAATTGGATCTGTCATTTTATTAACTATGACATCTGCTATGCTCTAATAACATTTTGAATAAAACATATGAGGCTTTGACTGCAATCTTGTGGATGTGTCCTTGGAGCTAAGTCCCAATGAGTTTAGAGGAACCTGCTCTTGAGTAAACATGTATATAATTTCAAAGTAAATAGGAGAATCTCCAAAGCAGAGCAGAACACATTTTCCCAACCTGGTGCCCACTAAATATTGTGGACTACAACTCCCATGCACCCCAGCCAGCATTGTGCAAAGATATCTGAGGGGCACCAGGTTGGGTAAGGCTGGAGTATAATAAGGTATTCCACTTCTGTTTGGGCATAGAGAAACTGGGCACGAAATTCTGCACTAGGTGCAGTCTTTAGAAGCAACATCAAGGACTCCATTTAGTCTTTGGAGCAAAACATCAGTCAGTCTTAGAAGTGGTCAACCGGTAGAAGATGTGACGGCAACAAATGGAGGACTTGTTTCATTGCTGATGTTCATATGATGGTTTATGCCATGCTCCTGTTTGTTGTTAACTGTTATTCTAGTATTGTAATTTGCAATACTATTGTAGCACAAATGCACCTTTCACTTTCTCCTTCATGCTCAATTTTCTCTTTTTTTAAAAAAAATAATATTTATTAAAGTTTCACAAGAAAATAATCACATTAATAATTAAAAAAGAAAAAAATTAACAATAAAAAGAAAAATACACAATACAAAATACAAAAAGAAAAAAGAAAAAACAGTTAAAAGCAATTCCGTCTTTTCATCACTTCTTTTACGTTTACTTATTTCCCGGACCTCCTCATACCTCCCTCTTTTGTATTCTAATTCAGTTTGTTAGTCCAGCAATTTCTTTCCCTCCTTTTTAATCCTGATCTTTAATCTTACTATATTATAACATTAAATTTTTACTTATTAAAAACCAATTTTTCCATTCTTTTAACCATTACTGCTAGAAACCGCTTAACTTCAATCCGTCATCATTCTAACATTCATTAATTTTACAATATTTCTGTAAGTAGTCTCTAAATTTCTTCCAATCTTCTTCCACCGACTCTTCTCCCTGGTCTCGGATTCTGCCAGTCATTTCCGCCAATTCCATATAGTCCATCATTTTCATCTGCCATTCCTCCAGTGTGGGTAGATCTTGTGTCTTCCAATGCTTTGCAATAAGTATTCTTGCTGCTGTTGTAGCATACATAAAGAAAGTTCTGTCCTTCTTTAACACTGATTGGTCGACTATGCCCAGGAGAAAGGCCTCTGGTTTCTTCAAGAAGGTATATTTAAATACCTTTTTTAATTCATTATAAATCATCTCCCAGAAAACCTTAATCCTTGGGCATGTCCACCAAAGGTGAAAGAATGTACCTTCAGTTTCTTTACATTTCCAACATTTATTATTGGGCAAATGGTAGATTTTTGCAAGCTTGACTGGGGTTATGTACCACCTGTATATCATTTTCATAATATTCTCTCTTAGGGCATTACATGCCGTAAACTTCATACCTGTGGTCCATAACTGTTCCCAGTCAGCAAACATAATATTATGTCCAACATCTTGTGCCCATTTAATCATAACAGATTTCACCGTTTCATCCTGAGTATTCCATTTCAGCAGCAAGTTATACATTCTTGACAAATTCTTAGTTTTGGGTTCTAAAGTTCTGTTTCTAATTTTGATTTTTCCACCTGGAAGCCAATTTTCTTGTCCAAATTGTATGCCTCCATTATCTGATAATAATGAAGCCAGTCTCGCACTTTATTTTTTAGTTTTTCAAAACTCTGCAGTTTCAATCTATCTCCATCTTGTTCTAAAATTTCCCAATATTTCGGCCATTTGACCTCCATATTGAGCTTTTTCAAGGCTTTCGCTTCCATCGGTGACAGCCACCTTGGGGTTTTATTTTCCAATAAGTCCTTATATCTTATCCAAACATTAAACAAAGCTTTCCTGACAATATGATTTTTAAATGCTTTATGTGCTTTGACCTTATCATACCACAGATATGCATGCCATCCAAATACATTGTTAAAACCTTCTAGATCCAAAATGTCAGTGTTTTCAAGAAGCAGCCATTCTTTCAACCAGCAAAAAGCTGCTGATTCATAATAAAGTTTAAGGTCTGGCAGGGCAAAACCACCTCTTTCCTTTGCATCTGTTAGTATTTTAAATTTTATTCTGGGCTTCTTGCCCTGCCAGACAAATCTAGAAATATCTCTCTGTCACCTCTTGAAACAGTCCATTTTGTCCACAATTTGCAATGTTTGAAACAAAAACAACATTCTAGGCAATACATTCATTTTTACCGCAGCAATACGGCCCAGCAGTGAAAGCTTCAAATTTGACCAAATTTCTAAATCTTTTTTCACTTCAGCCCAACATTTTTCATAGCTATATTTAAATAAATTTCCATTTTTTGCTGTCATGTTAATCCCCAGGTATTTCACTTTCTTAACCACAGTCAGAACTGTCTCATTCTGAAACCTCTCTCTTTCAATCGGTGTTAAATTTTTCTCTAAAACCTTAGTTTTTAGCTTGTTCAATTTAAATCCTGCCACTTGACCAAATTCTTGAATCAATTATAAAACACTTTTGGTACTAGATTCTGGCTCCTGTAACGTCAATACTAAGTCATCTGCAAATGCTCTCAGTTTGTACTGTTTGGCTCCGACCTGTGTACCTTTAACCAACCGGTCCCTTCTAATCATATTCAGCAAAACCTCCAGGACCGAAATGAAAAGCAATGGGGAAATTGGGCAACCTTGTCGTGTCCCTTTTTCTATCTTAAATTCTTCCGTCACCACATTATTTACAATTAATTTAGCCTTTTGTTCTGAATAAATTGCACTTATACCGTTTTCGAAACCTTGGCCTACCCCCATACCCTATAGATTCTTCTTCATAAAACTCCAAGAAATGTTGTCAAAAGCTTTCTCCACGTCCACAAATATCATAACTGCTTTAGTATTTATGTTCACTTCTAATTTTTCCAGAATATCAATTATATTCCTCAAATTGTCAGACAAGTGTCTTCCCGGGAGAAAGCCCGCTTGGTCTTTATGAATCTCTGCCATCAACACTTTTTTTCAATCTCTTAGCCAAAATGTCTGCAAAAATTTTGTAATCCATATTAAGTAATGATATGGGGCGGTAGTTCTTAAGCTGCGTCTTTTCAGTCTCTGTTTTCGGTACAAGTGTAATATAGGCTTCTTTCCACGACTCTGGTGCTCTTTTCCCCTCCATTATTTCATTACAGACCTCTTTCAAAGGTTGTACTAGCCATTCTTTCAAGGATCTGTAATATCTAGAAGTCAGTCCATCCGGTCCTGGAGATTTACCCAATTGCATGTTTTGAATGGCACCTTCTATCTCCTGTTCAGTTATTTTATAGTTCAACATTAATTTATTTTCTTGAGATTTTTTGTAGTCCATTTGTTTTCAAAAATTGATCTAAGTCAGTTTCTTTCAGTGGACCTTGTGTATATAGTTGTTTAAAGTACCTCTGGAAACAATTTCTAATCTCAGCTGGGTTCTGTATATTCCTTCCATCCACTTCTAAATTTGTAACTGTATTTAATTTTTGTCTTTTTTTCATTTGCCAGGCCAACAATTTCCCACATTTATTAGCTGATTCAAATGTCTTTTGTCTCATTTGTTTAATTTTCCATTCTATCTCTTGGTTCATCATTTTCATATATTGCACTTGATATAATTTTATTTCTCTCAGAATCTCTTGAGACTTTGGTTTTGTTCTCAATCTTTTTTCACTTTCCTTTATTTTCTCCAATATTTTATCCTTCTTCTCATTTTGGATTCTCTTTTTTAATGCATTCTGTTGTATCAAGAACCCTCTCATAACCACTTTACTTGCGTCCCAGATTACTCTTTTTTCCACATTGGTGCTCATATTTATCTCAAAGTAGTCTCTCAAGGTTTTTTGGGCCTTCTTAAGCACTTCTTCATCTCTAAATAAGGTGTCATTCATCCTCCATCTAAAGGAGCCAGTTGGTGTTAGTTTCATTTCCATCTTAACAGCATTATGGTCGGAGCAAGTTTTTGGGCAGATTTCCACTTTTCTTGTCTTTGGTGCCATTCCTCTAGTTACCCATATTAGGTCAATACCCATATTAGCTCAATTTTCTCTTCATGCCTAGACCGTGCCTCGATCAAGATGCACAGAAAGCTGTCTCCCTGGATATTCCAGAAAAGTTCAGGAAGGGAAGCCGCCCTGCTGCTATGATTGTTCTCCTTGCTCAAAAGGGACCATCTCCACTCAGGAAGGTAGGAGAGGCTCTCAGAGAAAATGGCCTTTGATGGGAGGATGGGGCTAATATTTGAGCCAGTCCAACCAAGACGTTAGTAATGGCCAGCTTTTTTTTTTTCCAGCTGGTACTCGTTGGAATTCATTTCCATCATCTGTTAGGTGAGGACTGTTGCCATTCTAAGAGAACACTGGAGGCATTCATTTATTTTTTAAAATAATTTTTTATTTGTTTTACATAAAGTTGTACACATTAAACATAGCCATTTCATTAAAATAAAATAAAAAGAGCTTATGCAACTAGACTTATCTATGACCCCCTATGACCTCTACAGGGAGGTGGGACCAATTCAGATGGTCCGCCCCCACCACTTAATGGATCCAAATTGTTTCTAGAGAGTGGTAGGGGATGTTTTATCCCATGTTGATGGCCTTTCAGCAGATTCCCAGCCCACTCCGGGGGCAGAGAGCAGGCGGGGGTGGGGGTGGCGTGTGTCCTGGGGGTGGTACGCGTCACCCACAGGGGCGGGGCGCGTGTCCTGGGGGATTGCGCTGCAGGGGCATCTGAAAGCAGCCCTGTTTAGGGAAGTTTTAATTTTTGATGAATCATTGTATTTTAATATTCTGCTGGAAGCCACCCAGAGTGGCTGGGAAAACCCAGACAGATGGGCGGGGTATAAATTATTATTATATTATTATTATTTCAAACCTTCAGATTTCCTTCCCTCCCATGGGTTCCATTTCTAAAAAACAGTACCCTCTTTCCTTTTACATTTCTAGCATAGATTCGAGCTGGTTCTATACATTTTTTCAGGTTTAATGGGTGTCAAATACCAACGGTACATCATTTTCAGGTAATTTTCTTTCAACAAACCGCAAGCTGTAAACTTTGAATCCTCTTTCCATAACTTTTCTTATGATGAAAACTGTGTGTTATAACCACAATCCATTGCCCAGTGAATCATTACTGGTTTAACTTCCTCATCTTTAGTAAACCATTCTAAGAGTAATTTGTACATTTTTGAAAGTAATTTCACATTATTTTCCAACAGATATTTTTCAAACCTTGACATCTCTGTATCAAACCCTTTTTTGAAGACATCATTTAATTGATGATACTGGAACCAATCTGTTAATAGCTCTCTAATGTCTTCAAACTTTTACAATTTTAATTGATCTTCTACTTAGCAATTCTTTATAAATTGCCCAATCACCTCTCATATTAATTTTTTAACCAATATTCCTTCTATCGGGGAGAGCCACCATGGTATCCTCCACTCTAGTAAATTTTTATATCTCTCCCAAACCTTGTAGATTGATTTTCTTATCAAGTAGTTCAGGAATCTCATATGTACTTTGGTTTTTCCATGCCTTACATATGCATGTCACCCGTACCTGTTATAATGACCTTCTAAGTCTAATATATCAGTATTTTTTAACAGTATCCATTCCCGAAACCAGCATAGGAAGGACGCTTCATAACATAACTTTGAGTCTGGCAAGGAGAAGCCACCTCTTTCTTTGGAGTCTACCAACAGTTTATATTTTATCCTTGGTTTTGCTCCCTGCCAGATAAATTTAGATATCACTTTTTGCCATTCTTTAAAGTGCCTTGCGCCACTGATCATGGGTAATGATTGAAGCAAAAATAACATTCTTGGTCCTGCCATGGAGTCAGTCAGCACTAGGGCTAGAGAGACCACCTGACTATTTCTGAGAGGTCCCAGCAGTTCAGGAATGGAGGCAGTGCCACACAATAATACTCCTCCGAGTTCCTTGGAGGAATTATAGAATTTTAATGCAATACGTGATTTTACAAATTATAATTCTAGCTTAACACATTTGCTTCTCAATATTTCAATATTACAAGAAGTGCCTTTATAGTGAGTCAAACTATTGATCCATTTAACCACAGTTGTTTAATCCAGGGGTCCAGAATTTTTTCTGGTCTTTGCACTAGATTTTAATTTCCCAGGTGAAAAAAGCAGGTGGGTGCTGCTGCCAACCTGTCAATCAACAAATGCAACAGTGATGTCAGCAAATTTGAGGTGTGTGACTGATGTTAGGATACCAAAGTGTGTTTTTCTCTATG